CGTCTAAGGCTTCTAATAATCGTTCCAATGTACTAGATTGTATTTCCACTTCACTTTTACCTAAAATGAAAAATGCAGAGATATTAGTTTCTTCTTTAAGACACTATCAAAAGAATACAAGAATAGTAAGACTCTATAAATCTACCCAAACTAAATAGAAAAATTAAATAGGTTTAGCAGAGATTTTTTATTTCATATTAAATAAAAAAAAAACAAAGCGCAGGAGAAAATACAGTGTCAGAAATGGAAACGTGTGCAATACTAAAAGTACCGTTAAAGTTAGCGAAAATTCACCATCTTGATTGCGTATACTGTCCATAATCTCATGCATGCCCGTTCTAAGTGCCTCATTTTCTTCTATAAGTATCTGAATATTTTGATTAACTTCAGAAATATCAATTTTGGAAGATATTTGCAAATTTTCTGCTTCTACTAATTTCGTCGAATGTAAAAACTGATTACTGGAATCACCTAAACTGTTAGAAATATCTAACTTCTCTGACTTGTTCAATTTATATTTTAACATTCTTATCTATAAAAAGTAAAAATTTGCAACAAGAATTTTAGTATATATCACAAATTATATATCTCAAACAGAAAAGATATGTATATGTACATTTTATACACAAGTTATATAAATTAAATCTTTCAATTAAATAATCTTACATCTGATTTTAATTCTAAATTTTCCTCTATAAGATTTTTATTTTGCTGAATAAACTCTTCCATTTTCTTTGATTCCTCTTTACGTTTCGCTACAACACTTTTAATTGATATTGATTCACTTTCTGGAATCCCTAATTTTTCTCTGTTATAACATGCAAAAATAGTGTTATATTTATTTTCTTCAGACATAAGGGATATACCTAAATTTAAACTTTTGAAAATATTACCTAAGTGTTAAGATCTCCATTTCTTGATATGAATTTAACATCTCCAATTTATTAATAACATTAGCTAAATCTTCAATATGTTCATTCTTTTGATCAATTTTAATTCTTAATTCTTTAATTTCATTTAATGCCTTAGCTAAAGCCTGATTTCCATCTTCATATTCTTTTAGTGTAGATAATACTTCGCATAACTATATAAAAAATACAAATTTATCATTTAACACTATTTAGCAAATAAATATATACAATATTTTAAAAAATTATTGTCATTCTTACCAATCAGCAATGTTTTTAAAACGTTTTTTTTTAAATAATGACTTAATGTAAACATATTAAATATTAAAAAAATATTTTTTAAATATTCTATTTTGATTAAATCATTATATACATATAAAATATAGTTATTTTTTAATTACTTGATTTTCAAATTACAAAATATTTAATATTAAAAAGAAAAGTTATAAAAACAGTATAAAAAAATTTATAAGAAATTTTGTATATATTTTCAACTTTTTCAGAATAAATCAACTCTTAAATAAGAGATTTAAAAAAATAATGGCAATAACTCTTTAACATAGTCTTTTATGAATTAAATATATAAATATAAATGTGTCTGACTTTACTACTCTGTGACGTGGCATCATCTTGTGCTTGTGACAATGCGTTTTCCAAATTAGAAATCTTTTCATTTGCAATTTGTATTCTTTTCAACAAATTTTTTTGTTCTTTCCGTTTATCACTTTTTGCAGACCTATAAAATAAATTAATAATTTTCAAAAACAAATCAGAAACATATTACAAATAAGATAAATAGAAAAGACTACATACTTGTGCGTTTCTCCTTTTAATTTTTCTATAAGTGCAGCACTCTCATTTATTTCAACAACTGCTTCAGAAAGTTTAGTTTGCAATTCAGATATAATCGCATCCCTACGAACTATTTCGTCATTTAACTGAACAATCTGTGTTTTATTTTCTTCTTTTACTGATGTAATTGACTGCATTAAAAAATGTGATAAGCTTTCCTTCAAACGTGTTATCTCCATGTCTTTCTCATCTAATATGCCCTTATAACATAAATAATATAAATTCATATATATATTTTCTAAAAACATTCTAAAATTCTATAAACATTATACCAAATTGATTTAATACCTTCCATTCAGATATTCTAGCATCAATAGCTATACCAAATTCATCCAACAATTTGTCTCTATCTACTTGTTGTGCTGTTAATTCTTCAATTTGAATAACCAAAGCTGCATTTTCTTGCTCCAATTTTAATATCTTTTCTGTAATAACATGGCATTTATGCATTTACCAAAAAAAACATCAAATTCATAAAAAAAAATATATATTATTCACATATAGATACCTTTGTATTCTATACTTTTTATTTGTGCTAAACGAAGTTCTTCAGTTACTTCGTCTATTTTTTCTGTTGCATCCTCCATTTCATTTTTCAATGTTGTTAACTGCTTCTTGAGACTTTCACTCTCTTTGTCCAAATTCTAAAAAATAATAAAGACATATATAAAGAAAATTTATTATTATTATTAATAAATACACTTACCTCTAATTCAGCCATAAGTGTCTTAACTTTTTCACTTTTGCCTTGTGCATCTGAATGTCTCTTTAAATCATCTTTGGTCTTTCGTTTGGCAGTCTCTGGACGTAATGAAGCTATTGTTTCTTTTAATTCACCACATTCAAGAAGCAAAGCTTCAACCTAATATTAATAAAATTATTGTAAACGCTATATATTAATGAAAAAAATTTAATTCTGTGAACATCTCTTTTGAATGAAAATAAATATTAAGCTATTATAAGTATCATACATAAAACATCATATAATATTTATAAAGCTACAATATATCAATCGTTTAACGCGAATATGTAATAAGAAATAATTTCCGTACTTGATTATCTTTATAGGTCAACATTTCTTGTGACAGTCTCACGAGTGTCCGCAAACCGTGTATGTCAGCGATCTCGTCCACATCGCATCGGACTACCGCGGGAAAAAGATCTTCGATTTCTTCGTCTGTTAAAGACGAAGCATTTACGGATAATATCCGATCCCAGTCGGTTCGAACCATTTTTTTGCGATAGCAATCAAGCAATGAATCATGCAACCCTCATCTACATTAACCTACATACTACTTCTTGAACATTCTCCTTCGATTTGGCGTTTGCTACAGTTTACAAACATTTATCCATCATAACAGAAAGAAAAGAGCGACTGTCATCACACTTCGTCAAGAAGACTAGAGCTAGAGAGAAACCTGAGAGAGGGCATGACGGCCTAAAACTTGTAACCGCAAAATGCTGCCACGCACTACTGCCCTCTGAAGAAGTGGATGTAAACTATATGCAAGATCCACTATTCTTAGGATCTATTTTTCAAGACTGATGGTAAGTAGATATTCGCGGTTCGTATAATCGTATTCGCGCTACATAAAATGTGGATCAGAAAAAATATTCTTCTCTGCAATTATATGTATGCTTACTTCCATGAGCGTGATGTTTATTATTATTATTAAGCTTAAAAGTATTAACATTAAAGTTGTATATTAAACCCATTTTTTTTACAAATGTGTTAAAATATATTGCGCGTGTTTATATTTTAAATAAGTTATATATACATATATATGGTCCCGGCAATTGATCGCTTTAATGTACTTTACTCTTGTACGCGAGTCAGCACAGCCAAACTGTGGGTCGAATTTTTTGACATAAACGGTGAATAAAAAAAGTCGAGAATAAAGCAAAAAATTAGCAAAAAAATAGCCTTTCAAGAATATGTACTTGTTTTTTCATTTGCTGCTATTTTTCTTTGTAGCTGTGGCACAGCCACCCAGAAAAATAGCAGCAAAAGAAAAAAAAAAGTACATAATTTTCAAGGGCTACTTTTTTGCTAATTTTATTCTCGACTTTTTTTATTCACCGTTTATGTCAAAAAATTTAACTCACATTATACACAAAAAAAATTCTAACACCCCCAAGTGATTATTTTTCATTATTGTGAAAAATATAATAAAAATAGAGGGTACAAACGAAAATAATGGGTGGACATACGTGGACAAACGGTGGACAAACGAATGCAATAATGATTTTATCAAAATTCGCCATTTCGGTGTGTCGACTTCACAGAGCAGCTCTGAGATGTCGGTACTTCTAAAATGCGTATTTTGATAAAATCATTGTTGCTTTCGTTTGTCCACTGTTTGTCCACGTATGTCCACCCATTATTTTCGTTTGAACCCTCTATTTTTATTATACTTTTCATAATAATGAAAAATAATCACTTGGGGGTGTTACAATTTTTTTGTGTATAATGTGAGTCGAATTTTTTGACATAAACGGTGAATAAAAAAAGTCGAGAATACAGCAAAAAATTAGCAAAAAAGTAGCTTTTGTAGAATATGTACTTGTTTTTTCATTTGCTGCTATTTTTCTGGTTGGCTGTGCCACAGCTACAAAGAAAAATAGAGATAATTTTCATTCTTGAAAATTAGATGCGTTATCCTAATAATAGTGGATCTTGCATGTAGTTTACATCCACTTCTTCAGAGGGTAGTAATGCGCGGCAGCATTTTGCTGTTTTTCGTCATGTCCTCGTCCTCTCTCAGGTTTCTCTCTGGCGCAAGTGAGAGAAAAGTTCAGATGGCGTTACCGTATGTAATGTCTCAACTTGCGCATGCGTGCTACGATTTTGGCTTCACCAAGATCAAACAACGTCAAAGGTGCCGGTTGCGCTACTGTATACTGTGCACGTGCTTTGCTGTGCTTTGCTTGTGAGTTCCGACAAACCATTCGATCGTGACGGTGACGGACGTGTTTCGGTTCGGGTGCTTTCCATTGTATATTTTTGAAACGACTTTGACTGTGCATTGTGTCACACAGATGCGTGTCTGCGGATGAGCTCGTCTCGATTGTTCGTCATTTTGCACTTTTCGACGACTAGGGCTCTTGTGACGCGCGTTATTGCGACGTGACGACGCCGTAGACGCAGGAGCCCGGAAACCGGTCGAGTAACGCCATTTTCGCGGGCATTGCATCACCGTTCGTTTTCATATTTTTGTACGGTTTACTTTACAGACGTGATCTGGCCGTATCGACCTCCTATTTCATTGCTTGGAGGCTTGAAGGCGAGAGCCATTATTTAAGGAAAAAGAAGAAGAACTTTCCTTGGTGTGGTAAGAGCTTACCAGTTGCGCCAGATGGCTCTACCGTCGAGTGCTACAAGCGGGTTGAAAATGGCATCACTGGTTACTGGTGCTGAAACGGTTTCTTCTGAGGTTAGTATGTTTATTTCCCTTTTCGCGCGAAACTCAAGAAAAATGTTACAATGTGTGTGATTTCATATAATTTTTTATTCGATTGAGAACGAGAAAAATATACGGAATTATTATAATATTTTATTATAATACATTTATACTTTCGAGTATATAATATTCTAAGTACGCACGTGCCCACATGATCAGAAGGTCATTTCATGTTTAATCGTATTTACTATTTATGATATGCAATGGCTGTGTTCAGCAGAGAAAGCAGCTTTGCAACTGTTGTAAAATTCTTTAATAGATTGGTCTTGCCCTTACTTCCTCATTAGATCTAAATGTATAAACCAATCATATTCAAGAATTCTACACAGTTGCAAAGTTGCTTTTTCTGCTGAACGCAACCATTGAAAAAAAATTTAAGCGAAAAATTGTACGAATTTATAATTAAAAATGTATTTATGATTAAATGTAAAAATTTCAGTTTATTGAATTTTGTATTAATATAAAAATAGCTGTTCAATATTTATATATACAATTGATTATTAACATAGAATATAGATAATATTATCATAGAAAATTGGATTGTATCTTACTTTGCATTAAGAATGTATATTTATAATATAAAAAAATATTTGATATATAAATTCACTGTATTTTTGTTTATTACTATATGTTATATTGAAAAATTGTTATTTAATATAATAATAGATTTATTAGAAATTTATCTATATATTATTATACATACACACATAATATTCTTCATAAAAAAAATATATATATAATATGTTATAGACATGTGTTTAAGAAAAAAGTATATTTATGTAAGTTAAACACAAGTTATAATACTTGTATAATAAAATTAATGAAATAATTTACTACATTATATTATAATTATATTAGTTTAATAATTAGAGTATCACATTTCTTTCTTTTATTTTAGCAGGATAAAATTAGAAAGTCCTTACATGAACTTCAGCCCTCAGCTACTGATAAAGAAACTTTGGTTGGTGCTGATAGAATGATCAAATCTACTCAACGAACAAAAGAAGTAAAATCAAAAAAGTAAGTTAGACTAATTAGAATACATGGAAAAAAGGTGATTTTTTATAAGACTTGCAAGATCATTATTTAAAAAAACAAAAAGTTTTTATAGAAATATAATTGGATGTTAAATGTATATATATTTTAGAAATGTGCCTATAAAAATGAAAAAAGATACTTCCAAAAATCAAACAAAAGTGACAACCAGCAACAGAGCTGTGCAAACTATAAAGGAGGAAAATAGAGAAATTAATGCTGAGGATCTAACATGTACAGGTAAAGTAATATATTCTATTTCTTCTTTCCTTCTGTATATTTTTAAAAAATAATACCTAAAGGATATCAGTTTTTTATTAAAACATTTTTTTCAGATATAGCTGGTCCAAGTGAAAATTACTGGCAAGTCCTAGCTGAAAAGAGACGAATAGCTCTTAAGGATGCTTTAAAAGAAAATAAAGAATTTGCAAAATGTATCGAAAAGTTAAAAGAAGAAAATCATGTTTATAATCAAATGTTGGATGAAGCAAGAGCACTTATTGAAGTGTTACAAGTAATATTATATCTGTTACATTGATACTATATTCAGCATCAATTACTATTTTATAACTTTATGTTATGTATTTTATTGCAGGACATGATGGAAGATGATAGAAACGATATAAATAATTCATTGGAAGACAGTGTCCTTTAATTTATAAGTTTTTTTTTAATTATAAGAAAGGTACGATCAAAAACTCAAAATTTTCTATATAAAAATGTTGAATGCATCCAAACTCACAAAACTCTATGTGAATATAATTATTACAACATATGTAGAGCTTTTTTTTTTACAGTTTACTTAAAAATCCTAAACTTTTATAAATCTAGAATATTAACTACATGTATTTTAAATATGATTATTTTTCAATATGTATATAAAGTTTAAAATACAATATCACACACACAAGATTTTGTAAGTTATTTTAAAACAATATGTGTACAAGAAAAAAACAACTACATATTTTTGACAGTAGCACATACACAAAAATATTATATATAAAACTTTAAGTTCTTTCCACTATTAAATAGTATAAATATTTCCGCACATTATATCTTAAATAATATAAATATTTCCACACATTATATCTTTATGTTATGTATTTTATTGCAGGACATGATGGAAGATGATGGAAACGATATAAATAATTCATTGGAAGACAGTGTCCTTTAATTTATAAGTTTTTTTTTAATTATAAGAATATATTTCCATATACCATATACAACATTTATAGTCTTTCATAAAAATATTTTGTCATAAGAGCTTAGATGCTTTCAACAGTTTTAAATCAAAATTCGCTACTTATATATTTGTTAATTTACCATATCGTTCCTTTCTTCAAATGATTTATACTGTCATAAAAGTCGAAGTTAAAATTTCGTTATTTATTCAATTTACATGTAATATCAATTCATTCCTCATTAGTTTTGTAGACAAGTATATTATATTGTACGCGGAAATGAACTTTATTTTACGAGAGATATTGTTACTATATGTAAATAAAAAGAAATCTAATAATAATAGAATCATTTATTGATTATTTAAGTACATAGTGAGATACACAAAGTAAATTTCAATCTCTTTTACTGTACATTTTAAAAAACATTCTGAATTTATCATAAACCGAATCACAGGTACGTTTCAGTAAAACTTCTTAGAAAAATATCTTCTTTCGAAAACTAAAATTTTACGTATTTTTATTTAAATATATAAATAAATAGAAGAATATATATGTATTTGGCATTACTGCAAAAATATTTTTTTGCATCAGTTTTCTTGTTTTGTTATATGGCACATAGCATCAAACTGACATTCTTCGTCACGATCTGGATATGTCGCTTTCATAATATTTAATGGACATGGCATATCTTTTGGACAGCCTGGTAAATATACTGGTTGTTCTTGAAACATAAATAAGACACTGGGTCCGTAATACTCGCAACTAAAACAAGAATAATTAGGTAATTATATACGACAATATATGTAATTAAATATATAAGACTTTTTTAAAAATGTGGTTCAATTCGAAAACAATAATTTCATTAAATAAGCATAAAATCACGCACTAGTTCTTATTTGTGATAACTTATTATAAAGTCAATAATTTATTAATGTCAATAACATAAATCTATATAAACGTTTCGGTCAATGTAATATGACCATCTTCAGTATACAATTAAAATAATATAAAATGAATTAATACAAACTACATCAGTCAATTATTCGCTTACATCAACAGCAACGCGCTCATATTTTTCTTGTTTCTTTCTTCCTGGTTATCGTTTTCCATCAATGTACGCTAGCTTGTGTCCTTGTGATAAATTTTCTTCCGAATTATACAATTTTTTTTTTTTACGAAACATCGTTACCAGACTATATTTCGTGTAAAATAATCGTCAATTCTTAAGTGGAGCGTCAGTGAAAAATCGAACATTACAACAATAAAATCCGCAATGTAGTGGCCTTTATAATAAGTTATCACAAATAAGAACTAGTGCTTGGTTTTATGCTTATTTAATGAAATTATATGTAATTAATATATATAATTTCATAATTTTATAAAAAAAAAGGAACATACTCATATAAAACAAATGCCATGTTAGTTGCAAACGTGTCAATAAGACTACTCCTCCAAACTCTTTTATCTTCCTTCTTGCGTAATGCGAAGGAGTTGTGCATTAAAGGATGCGCGTCTTTTGCTAGTCCAAGTAAGGCTATTAATTTTAAAATTGTGCCGGAATGTGTGAAATAAGCTGTTGTCATTGCCGTTTTGTTAGATCTGAAAAATGAAATTCTTATAATATACTATGTTCAAACTTGATCTGGATGCACCCATGTATCATTTTATCTTTGACGTTTATTAAGTATCAAATAAAAATAAGATAATACATAGATATACCCAAGTGAAAGATTTCTAACACTCTGTGTTAACATAATTAAATTACATTTAATTCCAAAAATTTACAATTAGATAAAATATTTTATTCTACAAATATTTAGAATAAAACTGAAGTTTCACATTTATTAAAATTTCTTAATTAAAGTGGTTTTCGGTTTAACTAATCTGATATGCAAGCAAAAAGATTTAATACATCCTTCCATTTTTGTCATTTTTACTGAAAAATTGCAATAAGAAAAATACAAAGACCTTATATTAGATTTACTACTGCAATGCATAAATTTACATACCCAAAAAAATCAAACATATCTTTTAAGACAGCACATGCTTGCTCGTAAGTTAATGGATAGCCATATCCATCGATCCAATAGAATTCTAGATCTTCTGCGTATTCAAAGATCTATAAAATACGAATTTAAAATTGGATAAAATTTTTATTAATATAAAAAACATTTTATTTTAATCTAAATTTTATACCTTGAAATCATTTAATGAAAATATTTTACACCAGGGAGATACTATACTTTCATTTAAAGCAGTTTCAAAAGCACACGTAGTGTACATTAAATTTACTGTCTCTGAAATAAAAATGTTGATTGTATATAACAATTAACACGCATAAATATTAGTAATAATTAATTAACATTTATGCATAATATACTTAATAAATACTAACCATAATCGATATTGAGACCAATACGCTTTTTAATATTATCTAACATATTTTTAACAATCTTGCTATCCAGAAATTTCGTTTTCTCTAGTTTTGCATCTACATTCTTGTCAACTTCTTGACGCCACCGAGGACAAGCTTTATAAAACTAGGAACACAGAATAATCATGTACCTAAAGAACTAGGAAAATTAGGAGCAGAGTAAATTGTCTGAGAATTTCAAAACAATGAAATCTTACTCTTATCACTCGATCTCGATATACTGGTAATGGATACCAAACATTTTTGCTATTATGCCAACCAAATAAACCAACAGCAAAATGCCTTGCGCTCTCTTCTGTACGTTGTGTGGCAGTAAATTTAAACTAAAATTTAGTTGGTGATTAAGAAGTATAGCTTATCTAATATATTAGAATATTTTGTTGTACATACTTTATATGTTTGATTGTTAAAAGCTTCTGGCATTAGAGATGGAAATCTTGCTTGATATCTTTCTCCAAGATCAATCATTTCATTTTCTCCTTCTACTGCCAATTTCATCATGTTTCCTTGAGTAAACGATAGTTTCCATTTTCTAAACAGAGCTGCTTCATCAGCTGACAGATTTGTTGCTCCATTTTCATAATTTTTTAATATTACATGTTGTAGCTCTGGTAAGTCTTCTATCATACGAGGGATGTACTTTTTGCCTGGATATCGAGTTCCATGACGAAAAATCAACCAGATCTTTTTCTCCACACAATCTATAAATCAAATAGCAATAAATACGTTAGAATCTCCATATATTTATTAAATGAGATATTAACAATATAGCAATACCTGGATATTCTAATGTTGATTCATCATAATTAGCTACACATCTGTAAGGAGTTTTTGAGCCTAATCTACATCTGTAACTGTCACTACGCTTAGAATAATCAGAAGCAAAAGAAATATCTGCTACCATACAAAATATAAGAATCTCAGCAGATAATTTCCAAAGCATTCCGAAGTCTTACAGTGTCAAAACCATGTCACAGTCCACGAATATGTTAAACATATATATATCTTTTTCTTAGTTACTTAACATAGTACATTCCAATATAATAGTTTCTTTTATCCGCGATAAAAGCATTTTGTCAATGATAACATCGTCATAACAATATTATATACACCACGCAGTATATACATTGCTTATACTTTTTCGAACACCGTGTAGAACATGACGTCAGTGCTATGCTATAGGTTTCTTTTTCTCTCTAAGGCTGAGTCCACACCACCTCGCTTTGAGAGAGCCTAAAGCAAGTTTGTTGCGACAGCCAATCTGAAGCGTTGATTTCAAAATGCAAGCTTGAGATTGGCTGTCGCAACGAACTTGCGATCGACTTGCAATAAATGTAGAACCAGCTTTAATGCATCAATTGTTCTTGTTTAATATTTGATGGACAACAAAGATAAACATTCCATATGCATCATAAAATGGAACGTACCTTGAACCTTATAGATCATTTCTCTTTTTCTATCCAGATATATTCCGCTCATTGCGCAGGCGTGAAATGAAATGCTAAGATTGAGGTTATTTATTTGTCTACTCTTGGCAAGAGGCATTAATTAAGAGGAAGAAGAAGAGAATTTGTCTACTCTTTGGGATCTACTTCAGAAAATTAATCTACTAGAACTGAATAAAACTGAGTTAAATTAGAAGTATATGCAATTGTTATTGAACGGTAGTGCAGTCGTTATTGTCTAAATGTAATTATAAGAAAAAGTAAGACGAGAATTTGTTCTCTCTGATGTTCTACATTGTATTACAACACAAACCACAGTATTTAACGTTTTATTACAGGTACATACAAAATATACTCCTTGCTCTGAACAAATGTAAACCAAAAGTACCGATGAATTTGAATTTCAGATATACAGTCAAATAATTATTCTGTAGTTCAAACATCATTGAAAGTAATCGTTTTTGTCTACCAAATGTATATAAATTTATTATTACGTATTACTGAATGCATATAAATTGATTAATTATTATTTAATGTTACATTAACAATTATCTTAATATAGTTTATATTATATGAAACTTTATATTTAAATAAATATGTATTAACATTAAATTAATTTA